ACAGGGGCTACTGTTGCCGAATCAGGACTGTTTGATGGGTATGGCTGCATCCGCAATGCAGAAATAATGCAGTATGATATTTAACTTTAACTGCCATGGCTCCATGTCAATGGAATCCTGGGATTTGTCCTTTGTTCTCTGACAGAGAAGGTTAAGCATCTCACCACACTACAAATCCCAGGATTCCATAGCATTGAGCCATGACAGTTAAAGCGGTATTAAACTACAGTGTAGATGTAAAAAAGCCCAGGTCTAATCTGCACTGCAGAATTAATCCAGTTTGACACCGCTGTAATTGTCCTGGCTCCATCCTATGGAAACCTGGGGTTTGTAGTTTGTTGTGGCACCAGAGCTCTCTGACAGAGATGGCAAAATGTTTCACCAAACTACAAATCCCATGATTCCATAGCACGGAGCCAAGGCAGTGAAAGCGGTGTCAAACTGGATTAACTCTGCAGTGCGGATGTAGCCTACGAGAGGTGAGACCCCGAGACCGAGGGAAGCCCCTCTGCAGAAGATCTTAGGCTCAGATAGGAAGACATAGTCCTTCAGAGAGTTTGGCTAAATATACTGTAGTTGGATGAGAGAGGAGAGGAAGGAAGAATACAATTTCTCTTAAAAATTCAAAGTGTGGCTGTTTCCTTTTACTTTACTGTTACATTTTACTCCACTTTCTTTTCTTTTTTGACATCAGGAATAGGAAGCCCACAGTACGGCTCCACATGTTCCTGGACTGCAGCTCCCAGCAGCCCCTAGCAGCATAGCCAATCCAGCAGTACTTGGGGGTGCATCTGCACTGTAGAAATAATGCAAATGGACACCGCTTTAAGTGCTGTAACTTCATCCTATGGAATTGTGGGATTTGTAGATTTACAAGGTCTTTAGCCTTCTCTGCCAAAGCATGGTGGTGCCTCTCCAAACTACAATTCCCAGGATTCTCTAGGATGGAGCCATGGCACTTAAAAGTGGTGTCAAACTGCATTATTATTATTGTTGTTGTTGTTGTTGTTGTTGTTGTTGCCATCCATGTACATGGTGCCTTACAAAGAGAATAAAACATTTATAACTATTTCAAAAATACAAAATACTAAAATACAAAAATACAATGCAAAAAAAAAAAAAGCAAACCACACGCACAAACACAAAATACAGAATAAAACAGCACAGTCAGTACAGATAATCAATTACACTAAAACTATAAAGCATTGCAAAATATTTTTTAAAACTTTAAAAAGTATATACATTCTTTTTATAATTATTTTAATTATTTCTACAGAGTAGATGCACGGAGCTGCCCAGTTCCCATCCATTTTGTACCATGTTGCCCTCCGTCTGGCTTGACGTATCCAAATAGTTTCCCTGGACTGTCAAGAAATGTTTTAACAGCCTTAATATTTTCCCTTTTTGGGTGTGTGTTTGGGGGGCTAAACCCAACTTGAGCAGAGTTGTTGAATCAGTTGCTAAAGAGCAATGCAAAAACTCATTGCTGCAAGGGGTCTCCCAAATGATATCTAGACCAACCCCTTTTCAGGCCAAGCCTTTCCTAACCTTGCAAAAGCACAGACCAGTAGCATCTAAGGAGTTCCCAAAGGACATAAAGGATGGGGCACACCTAGATTGACAAGACAACATGCAAAAAGGATCTAGGAGTCCTAGTAGACCACAAGCTGAACATCAGTCCACATTGTGATGCAGCAGCTAAAAAGGCCAATGTGAT